AATAATAATAATAATAATAATTGTAAAAAAGATTAGATGCTCTGCAAACATAGCAATTTCACTTGTGATAAATGTTCCTTATCTCTATATAAATCCTTGTTCTGTACAATAAGATTGGCTTCTTTGGCCTAAAAAAAGAAAAAAAAAACTAGAAAGTAGAAACATGACTCATGAATTATAAAAGTAGAAGCTTGACATTACCTTTAGCATCTTAAAACGATCACCTAAGGGAGAACAGGTGACAGATTTAAGTGATCCTTTGGTAAGAAAGTCAATAAAGTATTAATTTCTAAAAGTCCAGCTGATTTAGATACATGCCAAAGCTAGTGGGAGCATAAATGTTATGCCAGTAAAATAATAATTATTATGCTAGTGAGAGCATAATTATTATGGTAAGTGTTGCAAGTTAGTAGTGTTAATTATAGAAAATAATGTTTTCAATTCGCAAAGTTGCAGGGTTTGAATTTTTTTTTTCTATAATTAAGGGAGAGGAACTTATACTTCATTTTTCAATTCTAAAAGCTTAGATTGAGATTTCTAATCAAATTTAGTCAAAGACATATATGAATGTTATGTTGAAAAGGTTCGACATAAGGAAATTCTATATATGGAAATGTTATTTGCATTCTCAAATTCGATTATGATTACGACATCCCTCTTCATAGTTCAAGTTATGAGAACCTGACAAATAGAAATGTTATAGCAAAAGACTGATCAAGTATCGTGTCTTTATGTAAGACATTATGAATCGTGTCGTATATGTTTCGGGTATTGGATCGACTGCATATGCCTAAAGTGGTTAAACAACTATCAAGGACTAGAATTGAATATGACTAAAGTGGTTAAGAGGGAAAAAGGACTAGAATTGAATATGACTAAAGTGGTTAAACAACTATCAAGGACAATCTAAGGTTCGCTAAGGATTGGTTGCTTATGAATAGTTGGAAGTATAGTAATGAATGGACCATATTGATATAATTCTGAATAGATAGGATTCTATTAAGAATGGATAGTCATATGGAAATTATGGAAAAGTTTCCATAATGGGAGTTGGATATCAAGAATCTATGAGAAAGTTAGAAACTTTTATGCAAGAAGGATGTTAAAAGGAATGTGCTTTGAATATGAGACTTCGGATCTATGGAATTATCTTGTGAAAATATCCAATGGAAAGTTTTATAATTGACAAAGTCTCTGTGACTTGTGTACTTAATCATTACAAAAGGTTCATGGCATATAAGTCTAGAATCTAACAAATTATAGTAAGTGGAAGAACCTTGTATTCTTACACTTATTATAAGGATTTGGAATTGTGAAACGAATATCGTTGGAAATGTTTAAAATTGATCTATTTCACAATGTGAGGACCGTAGGTAAACATAGTGTACATGCTTGGAGTATCGGATAACTATTGTTTTAATTCAAGTATTAGTAGATACATCGAAACAATATACAATGAGTAATGAGTAATGAATATCGTGATTAATTAAAAGGTGTTTTATTTACACTCACAAGTTTTTGGGCCATATAGGATTAGTATTATTATTATGTTTCACTTTGCATGTTTTGACTTCCCGAATAATAAAATTATTCAAAATATCCACAGTCGATCATATGGTTGGAGTAGGTATGAATGAAGACTGTCATGAGTTGGCTTGTAGATTTGTCTAAGGCGTTAGGCATAACAACAGTTTATACACCGTTCATGAGTACTTCTGAAATAAGATTTGAGTATTGGATCAACCCGCACTCACTTGAATCACTTCATGGAATTTATCATGAGTGATTGTGAGATGATAATATCATATAAGTCTTCAAACCTAGATATATGAGTTGTTGACTATGAACTACTTGTGCATTGATGATACGAAAACGCATCAGTAACTTGATGTTATAAATCGTATCGTTGTGCATGATTTAATGAGTAGTTAGTACAAGCATATAATGTCAAAGTTTATATGTTCAGTTTTGTCCTAAGAGGATTAAAAGCGATATCTTGGGCCCCTTGATGATTATGTTTTGACATATGTGTCAGGCCCAGTCAGAACTAAATTGATGTGTTCAGTTATGTTCTATGTCAGACGAATCGAAAATCGAGAAACAAACTATTGGACAACAAATATGACACTGTTCCATGTATTTGTCTGGTTGATAACTTGAGAACAAAGGAGTATATGATCCCTTATCTAAAGGATGCATCACTGACTTGGTCAGAGTTGACATCGGCTTTTGAGAGTTTAGGATTGCTAAGTCGGATCCTAGAGGTACGTTGGTAGTTATAGTTATTAGACTTTTCCCAATTGAAACTTTTGTTTTCTATAATTAACATTGGTAACTTGCAAAACTTATCATAATCATCATGCTCCCACTAACATGATGATTATTAGCATAACACTTATGCTCCCACTAGCTTTGACATGTATCCAGAAATCATCCGAACTTCTACAAATCAATACTTTATTGACTTTCTTACCAAAGTTCAGATTTCTGATACGAGATGCTTTGATAAAACTTTATCAAAATCGTACACATTTTCTTAGATAGCAAACATGTGTGTCTAAACAATTTCTAAACTATGAAAAGGGATGTCGTAATCATAGTCTCAATTGTTTAGACCATTTCCATTCATCACAAGTCCATGTTAGTGTGTCGGTTAACCACACACGCTCCACTAACGACTTTGAGAATGCAAATGTCACAATTCCTATCTACTTAAAATCTTCTTAGTGAAAGCATTTCCTTACCATCATTTTAATGAATCGAAGAGATACCTTATGACATTAGATTTTATGGTGTATGTGTTCTTATCCTTGTGAATTTGTCAAAACCATAATCACAAGACAAGGTTAGTGACAATTCCAAGCTCATATGGACTGAACATGTGCAATCTTAACTTCTTGCCACCTGGTAGAACAAGGGCTTGCCATTGCTTCCAAGTTGTTATGAAACCAATTGAGAACTCTCAAAACTCATATGCAAAGCCAACTTTAACTAGAATGGGCACAAAAATACGAATATGTCAACACGATAAGTATATGAATCATTTGGTACCGGATTAAATTTTAGAAACCCCATCATCAAACATTCTTTCATAAATGTAATAAAAGGAAAAGTTTTTGATGTTGTTCCTTAGAAATCTCTGAGGAATGATATAGAAGAGTGAGTTTACTATACGACCTTTTTGCAGTATTATAATAGAGGTTTTAATTGTTTGATCAACAAGATATTATTAGTCCTAACCAAATCCCTATCAATTATAACATTGTTAAGCTTCATATTCAAACTCTCAATCCTAGTGTCTATCTCTACAATTTTGAGGTTAGCATCACAAAGTTTAGCTTTGGTTTTCTCCACAACACTACTCATAGAAATTAACTAATCATTTAAAAAATAACACACACCATCAATGTCATATAAATTAGCACCATAAGAACTCAAAGAAATATTAAGTCAGAATATTAGACCACCTACCTTCAACATCATTGGCAAATTTGAAGTGGTTAACATGAAACAATAACCTATGACATTCTCTCCTCCATCTGCAATCTCATCTTCGCTATCTAACAATAGCACTCCCTTCATAAGGTCCTCGCCACCATAATGCATATCAACATCATTACTAGCGTGCATAGCAAACATAGCACCATGCGCCGGATAATGCATCTCACATCATCAAATCCAAATGACCAAATCTAATATGTTTCTTTGTTTTCATCCATGCCCTTCACCACTGATGATAGATTCTTTGAATTAGTCCACACATCTTTGATCATTAAAACATAATATGCCTCATCTTTGAACTTCTCTTGATTATCTTTTTATTTCTTTAACATGCAATCTCTTTCCAAAAGGTTTCTACAATTACAATAATTGCATTCATATCTAGAGTCACCAACTAAATTTTCTCGAATATATTCTCACTTTGTAAGTCCCAAAATCTGGAACCAACTAGAGATCACACACAAGAACAAGCTATAATCAATAAGAATAAGGAGTAAAAGCACGAATGATCCAAATTGTACATGTTTGTATTGAGATGTAAACGTCAGGTACAATGGAACAAACACATATAACCGTTAACACTCTAACAAGACTGACACCTATATATATTGAACAGTGAACCACAAACGGGTTCATGGCCGTAAGCACACTTGCAGCCGCAAACACCTCATGAACTGAAAAAAACATGTGTTCGGTTTACCCAACCGCAAACCCACTAATTTACAAGACACCATCTCACAAGACTCATACAGATGGATTCCTAGCTCAAACCAACAAAATATGACCTAACAGTCTCCCTATTGGTTTGAGGCTAGCATGAATTCAGTCCTTTTCTACAACCAACACATTAGATCTTCCCATCGCACCCAGTCACATCTTCTTCTCAATGATCTAGAAAATCATTCTTGTATATTCTTTTGTCGCAGCCTAAAAAATCTCTTTCTTGCAAATGATTTGATGTTGAGCTAAAGAGTTTATGTCCCGTTCACCAAAAACCTAGTATTCCATATTATGTAGTGATCTATCACAAAAATTCTTCACAATAGGAATATGTGTCATCTATTTTGTCAGGGGCCACATGACATTCTTGACGCTCTTGTTGGTCTAGGGGTCAACAATGCCTTTGGCTCTTTTCAGGAAAGATTCATTAGTCTTCATCCTATCAAATTTCCACCTAACTTGATTCTCCAAGAATAGTTTGAAATCAGTTCCACGAGGATCATTGGTTGGGTTGGAGAATGGAGCTTCAGAAAGCTCGTGAGATCCACCTTTGTCAAAGAAGAAAAATTATTTGTGTCCTTGCAGTACTCCACATTACCTCTATTTCGTTTCACCAACCAGCAATTTAATCTGTCATGAAAGCCCCACATAACAATTCTTGACTGGTCACTATATTTGTCTCTGAACCTATTCTTTCCAAGATCACCCAAATTGAGTTGAGCCTGGTCTCCACGAATATTCTGATCTGAATTTTTCATGAAGAGCCACTTCCCATTCTTCTATGTAGATACTTGTCTCCGAGAATATTTGAGAGTAGATCTTGGATGAGCTTGAGCAGGTTTTATCTCAAAATGGCCAATAACTATTGTGGTTCTGACGAGTGGAGGATTAACAAAAGGATCTTGTTGAGATGTATTGGTTGGGGCAGATGGAGAAGTCTCAACTTCTTTTGGATCTTCGACAGTAGTTTTGAATTTGTCGCCAAATTCTGCAATAAGATTGTTCTTCAAGTCAAAGTATCCAACACTCAAGGCTCCAACGTTGATCTGTAGAGTAGAAATTTGTTTTGATTATAGAGAATTTTCTACTTCAAGATCAGAAATTCAAATGTCGAGATTTCCAATCAAAACCTCCTTCTTGATAATCTTTTGGTTTAATATACTAATCTCCGCTCTAAGATCTGAAATTGATGGGTTGGCTCCCCCTGAACATCCTTCACCTATAGATATATCTTTACCTCAGGTTAAAGGTTCAAAATCTTGTTGCGCCAACAACCTGGCAAGCCTCTCAAAGGCAGCATCATGCGCAGGTTGTGGTGGAGAGGAACCCCTAGGAGCTGAAGAGCTCCCAACTTCATAGGAAGATCAAGAAACACATGGACCTTCTTTTGTAACTTGACTTTCTTCAAGGGTCGGTTGTGTTGGTGTTGCAGATGTAGAAGTCTATTGGACAGGCGACGCTTGTTCCCTGATTAGTACTACCAGCCTTGGGTTGGCTCTTCTCCTTTTGATTGGAGGTTGGGTGGCTTGTGTCAAAATAAGATCACTTTCAGATGGAAAAGAAGTTGGAGTAACAACTGAAAGGGGAGGAATCCTTGAAGTTGTATCCATATTCGCTGAAGTGTCGACCATCTGATCAAAAATTTGAGTCATCACTTTGAGAACATTGCTAGCTCCCTCGGTCTCTATTGCTGTTTGTGCAACATCATCGACATTGTCAAAGAAGGCATCGATATCCTCATTGCTTATCCTTAAATCATTATCGTGCTCAATGTCGAAGAACAAATCATCATTATCATATCCATATAGATCACTACCTAAAACCGTATAATCTTCATCATCATCCTCATCATCATCATCTTCATTGTTCACCTCCACATCAGTCATTTGCACATGTTCCTCAGCAACAATAGCAACAGGAGGAACATGCTCTTCTTCATGTTCATAGACTTTAATAACATCATCTTCAACATCTTCATCATCAGATGAACTTTCGGATTATGATGCATCAATAATCTCCACAAACTTGCCGAAATTTTTCAGCGGGTATTTTCCTTTGAATTCAAAATTTGTACCCTTTCGGTTCTGTTTCATCAACCCAAAAGTATTTGATCCCAAGGACTTCAAATCCAAAGTGTCTCCTTTTCTTTCCAACTCTAGGTATTTACTATCTAAAATCATTTGTAGAAACCTCGAGAGACATCAGAAATTTATCTTTCCTCTTTCCTTCCAGATTGCTCTTCATCTAATTCAAAATGTATTTTGAGAAGTTAAAATAAAGACACGTAGTAAGACCAACTATGGAACCAGTGTTTAGTAGTGAGATCTCATCAGCACCAGCTCTCCTGCCTGAGATGCAGATAATGAAGGAGTGAACAAGAAATCTCCAATAAGGAGGCAACAACTTCTTTATGGTGGGAGGAAACACTCCCTCATATCCCATTCTTTCAACAATTTCTTCTATTTGCTCCAATGGAAATCTCAGTAGGAAACCCAGGTTGGTCATTGATCTTCAATGCTTCACGAATGACTTGCTCCAACACCACGATCTTCTTTCCATTAATAACCGATTCCAATGTTTCTTCACTATCTTCTATTTTCTACACAAAGGCTTTGTTCCATAATTGCTTTATCAAGTCTTGACAGATGATGGGATTTTTCCTAAAGGCATGTCCAAGACAGCATCTTTTGAGTCCATGAATCAAGGACTTGAATTCTTGGTGTGCAGTTGGTGGATCAAACAGGAAAGCAGCAATGTCGTGCCTGTCAGAAAATATGAAATTTGTCATTTGATCTGCACCAAACGAGCCAAATGAGAAAACTAATGATTTAGTCAATTAAAATTAAGTTTTCTCATTTATCAATTAATTAGGCTTCAATATAATTTAATTTGGATCAACAATCAGTTTATGGCTATAAACAAGTTAATGGCCGTAAATGGGTTAACAACCGTAAACGAGTTAATGGTCGTAAACGTGTTAATGGCTGTAAAGCGTTTGCGGTTGTAAATGTTGTTCATCGCCGATAATCTTTTTTTGCTTCAATAAACCCTCAAAACGTGATCGATTCGCATGAAAAACGATTGTGTGGAGTTCGCCTTAGCAGTACCTACACAAATCACAGTTCAATTTAGGATAATAACAACAAGAAGTTGATGAATCAAGATTGATCTGTGAACAGTTGAGAGAGAATCTAGAGGGGTTTACGAACGGTAACTGAAAAGTGAGGGTAAAAAGGTTTACAGCCATAAGCCAGTCTAGTTATACATTGGACCATTCCTGATCCATATCTCACGGGCTACAAACCCAAAAGGCTTCAAATCCAAACCCAATACATCCAAATTTTCAAAAATAAAACATTTTGGAAGACTTCAAAATATTAAAAATAAAATAAAATCTAAAAATTAAATTCAAACTAATATATATATATATATATATATATATATATATATATATATATATATATATATATATATATATATATATCTTAATTTTTAATTTTTTAGAAAATAAAATAACACTCATTTCTTTTCACCACTGCTAATATTATTTTCGTGATTTTGGGATCAAAGTTTTAAGACATCCTTAATCTATTTTTCAGTACCTCCACCTTCATGACTAGATCTGGTCAATCGCCGGTATTGTGGTCCACTTAAATACAAAAGATTGTGAAAAATTTGGACATACTACAAGTGACAAGACTCTTGACCAATACTCCTAGAGGGAACATTTAGCTGACGACGACCAAGGATATTGTTGTCCACCTAAATTTATCAACGAGATCTATAGACAACCTATTCAATGCACGTTTTATTGCCAGGTCGGATATCTTCCAATCACACAGAGGTACTGACATATAACAAACTGAATTAGAGAGATTAAGAAATAAAATGTAGCATATGATGTGTTGCAGGTCAGGTAAGAACTTATCACGCAAAGGAGACACCATATGACTAACAGAGAAAAAGAATTGCATACAGAAGGAGATGCATAGACATAGATGTGACAACCCAAATTTTTTTTCCTTGTAAAGTCCAGCCATTCAATCCAACAGTGTATCAGACTCATTTCTGCTATCTTTAGCCTTGTTTAGAGTCTGTTTATGGGTTCAAAACTCAGTACATTCAAGCATTGGTTATAGGATCGAGTTGCGTAAATTCGTCGCGTCAAAATCAAGCCATACACTCCATGTGAGGGAGTGTACGGCCGTACACATGAGTGTGTGGCCGTACACATGCTTGTGTGGCCGTATACCCATGTTGGTCGTACACCCCTCCATAAGAGTGATATCCCTTCATTCCTAAGCCATTTATTCAGTTTCCAAGTGAAGAACATCGAGTTTTCTCTCAACTATCATCGAGCTTTTACCCCTATCTTCAAGAATGTAACACTTTCTTCCGTTTAGATTTGTTGTTATCCATCTTCTCCTAGTAACACCCATTGAGTACATCCATGGAAATCATCTTTTGACTAGATCTTCAAATCTTCATCCATTTCACCAAGAACACACACTTGTTCTTGGTGATTGTGAACCCTTTTGAGCCTCTAAATCGTAGGTACTCCTTCCCCATGCTTAGTACATGTTAGGGTCACTGGCTTAACACATTAAAAACACCCAGAATACAAGAACATAAGGAGTGTACGGGCGTACACCCATGTATGGCCGTACACCCCCCAAAACACCCCTGAAGGGCCTTCAAAATGCAATTTTAGCTTCAAGACTTGACGAGCAATAGTCTCACAAGCTTCCCTATCATCCAAGTTAACTTTTATGCACTTGTTACCATGAGTGTACGGTTGTACACTCCCCGGCCATAAAACCATGGCCGCACACTCCTCATTTGGGCTATACACTCCCCTTAGATGAATCACATGTGATTCTTGTTGGATTTGTGTCTAAGTCCATGACTATTTTGGTATGTACTTGACCCGATTATGAGCATGGTCCTTTTGGGTTGCCTTCACCATAGCAATATGTAGGATGAATTAAGGAGAGAAACGATTAATTATGATTTATTAATATATTATAAGAATAATATATTAAAGGAGAAATCATAATGTTTAATTAATATTGGTTAAGAATTAATTTTATGGCTAAAAGAGATTAATTAAACTTAGGGGACTGGATTTGTAATTATAAGATAATTGCAATTGGGCTATGGATTACCTAAATAATATAGGTTGGACGAATTATATGGGAAGCCCATAAAGAATTTGTCCAAAGGATATGTTAAAGGAGTCCATGGGCTGCTTAGGGCTTAAGCAGCCATATTAGGGTTTCCTAGTTGTAAACCCTAATAGCCTACATGTATATAAAGGGTCCCTATGCCCCAAAAGCGTGGCTAGGAGTTCCTTTAGGGTTTCCGGACGTTTTTGGTGTCTCCTCCCTCCTCCCTCTTCATCCAAGTTGCTTAGTGGTGTTTGTGACTCCATTAGAGGTGCAACACTTGAGGCACTAAGCTTTCTGAAGCCAAGGATTGATTGTTATTGCTATATAACAATCAAAGGTCAGATCTAAATCCTATTTTATGTTAATTTAATTAATTGTATGCTAGATCTAGTGTTTATAGCTTTGGATAATCAATTGCATGTTCATTAGACAAACTAGATCCAAAAGCTATTAGGGTTTGCATGTACACCATAGGATTGATGTTTTGCTCAAAACCCATCAATTCTAACTCTTGGTCCAAGTGTTTCCTAGTCCCTAAAGGTGTTTCCTTGCATGTGGTTGCTTCTAAACACTATATTCATGCCAATATATGTCATTATATTGTCATTTGAACACAATATTAATTGTGTAAATATTTTGTTACAAACATCTTTTAAAGAATTGCTTATGTATTATTAAGTGATCAAAACATCTCAAAAACTCTTTTAAAGTTATGTTAGTTTATAGTTACAAAACACTGTTTTTAAAGTACAATCATAACTTAGTAGATAAAATGAGTCTTTTCTTCAAGTCAGTATCGGTTCAAGTAAACATATTAGTAAACTATAATACATATAGTTTAGGGGTTCAGTTCATACTATAACAAGTACAGAGAAGAACACACTATAACAAGTACAAAGTAGAGTTCACCATAGCAAGTACAGAGAGGAACACACTATAACAATAACAGACGAACAATTCTAGAATTACACACTTATACGATGTTCCTAGTACTTTAGGAATACATTGTATCCTTAATTCATTAAGATTTTAATATATCTTTCCGGGTTTGCGTTAACACTGGTACAATTACACGGACCTGGGTTAGTAGGCACGAGGTGATAAAACATAATAATATATCTTTTCGGGTTTGCGTTAACACTAGTACGATTGCACGTACCTGGGTTAGCATGCACGAGGTAATAAATCT